CTGGGCCCTCCAGCACTGTTGGGGTAAGAAAAGTCTGCCTTCACTAAAAGTGCTCCAAATGTTTCTTTATGCGAAAGCAATAGGGAGTTTTGGTAGACCGCGTTTCCACCTCCGTTAAGCCCTTCGCAACGAGGAAGCCGCTACAGCGTCTGCGCGCCGAAGGCCTTGGCTGTTGTTTCCCGGGCATCGTAGTGGGTCGCGGAGGGCTTCGCGGGACGGCGAAAGCGATCTACGAAACCTCCCTATTAACTGTCCCACGGAGCGAAGCCAGCGTTATCTGATGTCAATATAGCAGCGAAAAACGGCACCTAAATTTCCGTTTTGGCTGAGCGAAATGGCACGTAAATTCCCACTGGCTGCAAAGGGGACGCACCTCAGAAAAAATAAAACGCAAAGAATAGAAGAGCAACGCAGATGCTTCGTAACGGAAGCCGTGGAGCCGACGGGGGTGCCGCGCCTGCCCAGTGGGGGAGCGTGATATGTCACCGCCGGAGCGCCGTGTGAAGAAAGACGCGGCGCACTACTTGTAGGAATGCGCTTCGTGCAGGAATGCTTTCGCATTCCTACCCGTACGCAGTTTTAAGTGTCTTCGTTTCATTTTTTGTTAATAATTCCAACGCTTCGCGCGAATTATACGGCCCCAAAAGGTATCGATATGCACAAATCTCTTCGATGCCAGCGGCTAAACGAACGTGTACGTTCGGGCTACGGCCCTTCCGTCGCATTGCTGCAATTTCTATACCACAGGTGTACTATATTTCGTTTCAAGTCCGATTGCAGCCAACGGTACACGATCAGATGGAGCCAACCAAGCGGTGCCAAAAGTGCAGCGTCACGACGTTCGTCGTCTTTGTACCTTTCCTGTCACCGGCTCTAAACCAATCAAACGCGGTATACGCGGCGTAATGCTGCGATTGTTTTTCTCCCGTGACGACATTATATTATACTGATAGTAAACCCACAATGACGACGAGCTCCATGACGATAGACTTTCTGGCGCTGGATTGGCTTTATAGACCGACACGCGGAGCGGCTCTGTTTACCAACACTGCCGGAAGGCCGCGCATGCGCGGTAGCTATGTGGGCAAAAGCAGCCCGGCCCTCCGTGTTTTCGCCATGGCGTTCTATGGCGTGCGCTCGTTATTGACGTTGTAGGGACGCTTGTATCTTTATTTGTGCGTCGTATTTCCTCACAAGATATGTCGCATGCTATGCCCGACTATTTGCGCTCGTGGCCCGGGCCTGAACGGCAGCGGTATCGAAACAAACTGTGCGTGGACGGCGTTGCCTAGAGGATCCGTACGCCGTAAACAAATTCTGCTGGACTTCCGACGTAAAGTTGCTGCCACGGAAGTCGACGGCTCACGTCGTCGTATATTTAGTTTTTTCGCCAAGCCAGTTCACGGCCGACACGGTGCAGGCGTACAAGTCTCTCGAGGTTTACGATTACTTCGAGTCGGTTTCCGCACTGCCGGCGGGATCAGCAGACTCTGGGTCTGCGGAAGTGTGTGTATTCATTAAGTGATTAAATACACTCAGCGTCTTCAAGTCAAGGTATGCTATTTTTCCTACCCTCATGACCACAAGGCACGACAAGCACTAACGGTTTGTCCGTTCTGCAGTCTTGGCGGTAACAGGTTACAAGTAACCGCGTTGTTGGTAACGCGTTACTTTTTTCAGTAAAATAGTAACCTACTCGTTACGTTTTCGACACAGTAACGGGTAACGTACTTACGTTACTATATCAAGTAATGTAGTTACGTTAGTCGTTACTACTTCCCAAGTCTTAAAGAAATGACACTTCATTTTTTCTGTGTTTTAGGCGTCAAGCCATGTTTTTCTTTGCGTTTTTTCTCGTATGTATTTAGGTGAAATCGTAAAAAGATATAAAGTAATTATGCTCAGTTACTGCATGAACATAATATTTCTTGATATATGACCTATACCGTCAAAACCGTAGAATGTGTTAAATTATAATTTAAAAAAGAAACGCAGAAGTAACGTGCGTTACTTTTTATCGGTAGCGGTAACGCGTTCTTTTTATTTTTAGGTAACCTAGCTCAGTAACGCGTACCTTTTATTTGCAAGTAACCAGTAACGTATTTCGTTTATTTTTCGCTAACGCCTACAACACTGCCGTTCTGTCGCCGATCCCCCCTGCTGGGTAGCACGGGCGTAGCGAGCCTCCGACGAGTGCTTGGCCGGTGCTTTGTGCGCGAACACCATGGGAACAAAATCCGGGTAGTCTCGATCAGACAACGGTTTCCCTGCACATAAGCAAGCCTCGGGACGGAGATTGAAATGGAAGCCGCACTTGCCTTCAAGAAAGTGTTTGCCGCACAAATGGTCGTTCGCGCGAGGCGATCATTCTTTTCGATCCACGGATATTATCCACCTTCTCTGCCTTTCAGAATCTGCCGGGAAGTTGTGGAAACTCACTCCGCTGCTTTTCTTGTACATTCTGGCGCAATTAACGGCAACACAGCTTCGCGGCATGCTGAAATGCTATGACGCCCATGCGAAACGTGCGCGCTTTTGCCCACACCCCCCGGCTCCGGCTAGGGTGCCTCGATGTCAGCGCCGCGCTTATCCAGGCACCCTAGCTCCGGCGCGATCGCAGCGCCGCCGCAGCTCCGTGACGTCAAGCCCGCGTGTCGGTCTATAGAGTCGCAGGGTTGGTTGCGGTTTCACTTAAAGGAACCGTGGAATTATTTTTGTTTTTGTTGTTGTTTTTCCTCCTTAGCTCTAACTGCTTTAACTCAAAAGCGGAACGAGAAATCACGTGGTCGTGACGTCGTAGTATTTCACCGGATGCGATGCCTCCGAGCTTTCACCGCGTGCTTTTTAAGCGCACCTTGGAACTTGTCGTTCCCCAGTGATAATTATGTCGTCGCGGCACTCATTGCCGCCACGAACGCGAATTCAAATATTCGTTGACGAATTGATCTTTGACGCGCGCGTAAGTCCAAGTGAAGAGGTGCTCGTGCCCGCTGCCTGACCTGGGTTCGGTTGAAGTGCTTGGGCACTGCGGATGCATCGCAGAGAATAGGCGGAGAGCTTTCGATAGAAAGGAGTTGAGAAATATTGTCCGCTACATCTTCAAATCGTCATACCGAAAAAGCAGGCGTTGGGCTTTCTACCCTCGTGTACAAGTTTTATGTTGGCCCAGCAAACGATATGTCATTAGTAATACACCAATCCACAATCATTTATCTCAGTCCAAAATTAATTTATAGGCTTCTTTAATGTGAGACAGAGTATATAATTTTAATTTTGAGCGAATCTTTCGTCAGTCATTACTAGAGCCATGAAATAAGCCGATATTATTTAGGTAGTCTCTCTAGAGTTTATTAGTAGCTCTAGTTGCAAGATAGTCGCAATCGGTCAGTCAGCGCACTTTCAGTCGAGCGAAGCCTATGTGCAGCTAAAGCAAGCACCGACATAAGTGCTGCAACTATGGCAACTGAGCAATATACGGGGCACCGGATAAATGATTTGAACATACAACGCGACGAAAGATCAGGTGACACCGCGGGACGTGGGAGCCTAAAGCCGGGGTCACGCTGCTTTTACATCATACAAAAAGACAGTCTGCATAGTCATGAAGCATTCGGCCAATCGTGGCAGGCCGACCAGAGCGACGCTTTTGATCGCGCACGTCGCCAATAGCTCGAGAGACGTACGTCCCTCAATTAGCGGCGAGATGTTTGGGTGGCGCCCTCCTATGGCTACCTCTCGTCACGTCATTATCGTGTGAATAATAAGTTTGATGGTGTTTTCATTGGCCTGGTGGAAGCTGGAAATCACTGCGCTTTTAAACCAGCACTGCCAACACCGTCAAAATTTCAGTTCTGACATTACTCTTATTTCCGTCCATGAGAAATCCTTTGCTGACGTCAAAGTCAGCACTCGGCCAATCATGGAAGGCCGATCACAGCGACCCTTTCGATCGCCCACGTCGCCAATAGCCGGCTAATGCAGATTCAAAGGTCGGACACCTATGGCTTTGTCGGCATAAAGCATCATTAAGTCGGCTAAAGAATATTCCATGGTTGAATATTAACGAGCTTAGGCCAGCATATATCCAATATCGGAAAGTCATTGGCTTTGGCAGTCCAATATTGTACAAGTTATGCCGGCGTATATACAATAGTGGAATGTTATTGGCTTTGACAGTCCATATTGGACAGCTTATGCCGGCGTATAGCCAATATCAGAAAGCCAATGGCTCCGGCGATCCAATATTGGACAGCTTATGTCAGCGTATATCCAATATCGGAAAGCCATTGGCTTTACCATTCCAATGTTGACTAGCCAATGCCAGCGTATCACCAATATTGGAGCACCATTGGCTTTGATAGTCCATTATTGGCCAATGTGATTCCAATATTGGGAAACATTGGGCTCAGTTGGGCCATTGTTGAACCATTCTTTGCCACATTCAACCCAATGTTCGCCCAGTACTGGGTGCTGCCTGGGTCAAGATTCATTCTTTCTTATCGAAAAAAAAAAAAAAAAAATCTAAACACACACACAAAAAAAATTAAGCGGCCGGAAAAGAAGGTTATTAATACTCTGTTTTTTTTTGTTTTTTTTTTTACCTTCTGCTTTTTCTGCGTTCTGAAATCCCGAACTGTTAAACCTATTTCAACTTCGTCTTCGCTTCTTCGGTAAATTCGCGTGCCGTACATCGGAACCTCACAATGCTCCCAGCAGACGCTGGGAGCACCACATATTTCCGGATAGGTCTGTAGCTTGGTTGACTCCCTCTAGCTGTGAGAACGTTACGCGGAGGCTGTTCGCAGGCCTTGTTTATTCTAGGTGGTGTTGGCTTAGCATGTGCACGCTCGGGTTCTGATTAGAATGCAATTAAATGCAAAGGTGCAAGCGAGCTGAACAAGAATGACGAAAAAATCCCTGGAGAAGGGGAACATGTGGGACGAAGGACAAAAATAAATGTCCCAACACAGCTAGGTGACTGGTGGGCGTCTGAAAAAATCCGCCTGGTCCGGGTATCGAACCCGGGACCTCTCCATTAGTGGTGGAGGGCTCCACCAACTGAGCTAACCAGGGGTTAGACGTCAGTAGAGCAAACGGTTTTTATCAGCTGCCACCAGTCTAACACCAACAAGGGTGAAGCTTGCAATTTAAGGTTATGATTAGAATGCAATTAAATGCAAAGCTGCAACCGAGCTGGACAAGAATGACGAAAAAATCCCTGGAGAAGGGGAACATGTGGGACGAAGGACAAACATAAATATCCCAACACAGCTAGGTGACTGTTGAGCGTCTGAAAAAATCCGCCTGGTCCGGGTATCGAACCCGGGACCTCTCCATTACAGGTGGAGCGCTCCACGAACTGAGCTAACCAACTGAGCTAACCACGGGTTAGACGTCAGTAGAGCAAACGGTTTTTATCAGCTGCCACCAGTCTAACACCAACAAAGGTGAAGCTTGCAGTTTAAGGTTATGATTAGAATGCAATTAAATGCAAAGGTGCAAGCGAGCTGAACAATTAAGAAAGACGAAAATAATCCCTGGAGAAGGGGAACATGTGGGACGAAGAACAAACGTAAATCTTCAAACACAGCTAGGTGACTGGTGAGCGTCTGAAAAAATCCGCCTGGTCCGGGTATCGAACCCGGGACCTCTCCATTACAGGTGGAGCGCTCCACCAACTGAGCTAACCAACTGAGCTAACCAGGGGTTAGACGTCAGTAGAGCAAACGGTTTTTATCAGCTGCCACCAGTCTAACACCAACAAAGGTGAAGCTTGCAGTTTAAGGTTATGATTAGAATGCAATTAAATGCAAAGGTGCAAGCGAGCTGAACAATTAAGGAAGACGAAAATAATCCCTGGAGAAGGGGAACATGTGGGACGAAGAACAAACGTAAATCTTCAAACACAGCTAGGTGACTGGTGAGCGTCTGAAAAATTCCGCCTGGTCCGGGTATCGAACCCGGGACCTCTCCATTACAGGTGGAGCGCTCCACCAACTGAGCTAACCAACTGAGCTAACCAGGGGTTAGACATCAGTAGAGCAAACGGTTTTTATCAGCTGTCACCAGTCTAACACCAACAAAGGTGAAGCTTGCAGTTTAAGGTTATGATTAGAATGCAATTAAATGCAAAGCTGCAAGCGAGCTGGACAAGAATGACAAAAAAATCCCTGGAGAAGGGAAACATGTGGGACGAAGGACAAACATAAATCTCCCAACACAGCTAGGTGACTGTTGAGCGTCTGAAAAAATCTGCCTGGTCCGGGTATCGAACCCGGGACCTCTCCATTAGAGGTGGAGGGCTCCACCAACTGAGCTAACCAGGGGTTAGACGTCAGTAGAGCAAACGGTTTTTATCAGCTGCCACCTGTCTAACACCAACAAGGGTGACGCTTGCAATTTAAGGTTATGATTAAAATGCAATTAAATGCAAAGCTGCAAGCGAGCTGGACAAAAATTATGAAAAAAATCCCTGGAGAAGGGAAACATGTGGGACGAAGGACAAACATAAATCTCTTAACACAGCTAGGTGACTGTTGAGCGTCTGAAAAAATCCGCCTGGTCCGGGTATCGAACCCGGGACCTCTCCATTAGAGGTGGAGGGCTCCACCAACTGGGCTAACCAGGGGTTAGACGTCAGTAGAGCAAACGGTTTTTATCAGCTGCCACCAGTCTAACACCAACAAGGGTGAAGCTTGCAATTTAAGGTTATGATTAGAATGCAATTAAATGCAAAGCTGCAACCGAGCTGGACAAGAATGACGAAAAAATCCCTGGAGAAGGGGAACATGTGGGACGAAGGACAAACATAAATCTCCCAACACAGCTAGGTGACTGTTGAGCGTCTGAAAAAATCTGCCTGGTCCGGGTATCGAACCCGGGACCTCTGCATTAGAGGTGGAGGGCTCCACCAACTGAGCTAACCAGGGGTTAGACGTCAGTAGAGCAAACAGTTTTTATCAGCTGCCACCAGTCTAACACCAACAAGGGTGAAGCTTGCAATTTAAGGTTATGATTAAAATGCAATTAAATGCAAAGCTGCAACCGAGCTGGACAAGAATGACGAAAAAATCCCTGGAGAAGGGGAACATGTGGTACGAAGGACAAAAATAAATCTCCCAACACAGCTAGGTGACTGTTGAGCGTCTGAAAAAATCCGCCTGGTCCGGGTATAGAACCCGGGACCTCTCCATTACAGGTGGAGCGCTCTACCAACTGAGCTAACCATGGGTTAGACGTGAGTAGAGCAAACGGTTTTTATCAGCTGCCACCAGTCTATCACCAACAAGGGTGACGCTTGCAATTTAAGGTTATAATTAGAATGCAATTAAATGCAAAGCTGCAAGCGAGCTGGACAAAAATGATGAAAAAAATCCCTGGAGAAGGGGAACATGTGGGACGAAAGAAAAAATAAATCTCCCAACACAGCTAGGTGACTGTTGAGCGTCTGAAAAAATCTGCCTGGTCCGGGTATCGAACCCGGGACCTCTGCATTAGAGGTGGAGGGCTCCACCAACTGAGCTAACCAGGGGTTAGACGTCAGTAAAGCAAACGGTTTTTATCAGCTGCCACCAGTCTAACACCAACAAGGTTGAAGCTTGCAATTTAAGGTTATGATTAGAATGCAATTAAATGCAAAGCTGCAAGCGAGCTGGACAAAAATGATGAAAAAAATCCCTGGAGAAGGGGAACATGTCGGACGAAGGACAAAAATAAATCTCCCAACGCAGCTAGGTGACTGTTGAGCGTCTGAAAAAATCTGCCTGGTCCGGGTATCGAACCCGGGACCTCTCCATTAGAGGTGGAGGGCTCCACCAACTGAGCTAACCAGGGGTTAGACGTCAGTAGAGCAAACGGTTTTTATCAGCTGCCACCAGTCTAACACCAACAAGGGTGACGCTTGCAATTTAAGGTTTTAATTAGAATGCAATTAAATGCAAAGCTGCAAGCGAGCTGGACAAAAATGATGAAAAAAATCCCTGGAGAAGGGGAACATGTGGGACGAAGGACAAACATAAATCTCCCAACACAGCTAGGTGACTGTTGAGTGTCTGAAAAAATCCGCCTGGTCCGGGTATCGAACCCGGGACCTCTCCATTAGAGGTGGAGGGCTCCACCAACTGAGCTAACCAAGGGTTAGACGTCAGTAGAGCAAACGGTTTTTATCAGCTGCCACCAGTCTAACACCAACAAGGGTGACGCTTGCAATTTAAGGTTATGATTAGAATGCAATTAAATGCAAAGCTGCAAGCGAGCTGGACAAAAATGACGAAAAAAATCCCTGGAGAAGGGGAACATGTGGGACGAAGGACAAAAATAAATCTCCCAACACAGCTAGGTGACTGTTGAGCGTCTGAAAAAATCCGCCTGGTCCGGGTATCGAACCCGGGACCTCTCCATTACAGGTGGAGGGCTCCACCAACTGAGCTAACCAACTGAGCTAACCAGGGGTTAGACGTCAGTAGAGCAAACGGTTTTTATCAGCTGCCACCAGTCTAACACCAACAAGGGTGAAGCTTGCAATTTAAGGTTCTGATTAGAATGCAATTAAATGCAAAGGTGCAAGCGAGCTGGACAAGAATGGCGAAAATAATCCCTGGAGAAGGGGAACAAGAGGGACAAAGGACAAACATAAATCTCCAAACACAAACATTTATGTTTGGAAATTTATGTTTGTCCTTTGTCCCTCTTGTTCCCCTTCTCCAGGGATTATTTTCGTCACGCTCGGGTTGGTCGCTTTGGAAAGCGAGTAAAGCACTCGCTTTACGCAATAATACTCCGACCAAGATACTTTTTTTTTTGTATCGGTGAACGGTCTAAGAACCACATTCGCATGACTGTCGCCATTATGCTTGTTATCTAAAGGGCATGGGGAAACCTTGATTTGTTTCATTTGGCCGATTGAAAGCACGTTAATAAGAAGCGTCACACGCGTACGTTCTATTTTGATAACAGTTATTTCGTTAATAGTATTACTTTTATCGACATATTCAAAGTTATCTATTCTCTTTACCTTATATATTTATCACCAGTCTGAGGTTTTAAACCTAATATTTCGAGGTAAAGATGGTAAGAAAGAATAGCCAGAGGCTCAAAATAAAACGCGCTCAAATGAATTTATTGCCCCAACACCAAAATAAGCGAGCGAGCTAGTTGTTACCCTCCCACTTCGCGTCACAAACAAACACACTCTGTGGAATTTCAGATAAAAGTGAAGAGACATGTACGTGAATATTGAGATTGGCGCTGAAACTGCTCGGGCGCTCGCACCTTTTAGTTTATTGCCTCAGAGAGTTTACCCCGAGTGTACGGTATTTTAAAGGAGCTGTGCAACGATATTCAGTTGGAATGTTTTTCACTATACACGAGCTTACTGGCACTAGTGGGACTCAAGGATACTCGCACGCGACGCCACTGGCCAAGAAACTCCTTTGTTGCGGTGAAATTTCAAGGAGAAAAGCAATTATTTTCGTTCAATCTCTCCTTTGCAAAATTTGATGACGTAACGTGGGGATCGCAGAACACCCAAGTGACGGCATTTGAATGCGGTTCATAGATTGGATCCGAGCCCTGAGTGGGCACTCGATTTGGGCTCGTGATAATTACTAGCTCGAGAAGCATTCGGGTAGTCGCCCGCGTCCAATCGCTGCAACGACGACAATAGCCGAGCCATAATAATGTCTGGAACTCAGCGTTTGTCCTGTGCTTTGCCAACCCAAGCGCGTGGCTATGATCAACATTGGCGGCATATAATCGGCTCCAGATCCCGTGGCCGCTTGTTCTGGCCGCGAGTTGAGGGGGTGAACGCTGCTCGTTTTTCTTAATTTTTTTTCTGTGACTTCTATTGCGTGAAGTGAAAAACAAACGCGTGTTTCATAGGTCATTAACATCAGATATCTGTTATAAGCGGTATTTGCGCAAAGTACAAAAATTGTTGCATCGCCCATTTAAGGTAATTCTTGGTTGTTAACCCCCTTGAAGTACCCGATGCCGACAACAGGCAATCATAGGGTAATACAAATAAAATAAGGAAGCCAAGGTGCGCTGTCTCGTCGGTCAAAGCAAAGAGCTCC